TCTTTCTTAGTTATGAATTTTCTTTTGTGTGATCTGATCTCATTGGAGTTGTGCATATACTTCGTTTAAGATTTCTTGTCTTAGTTTTTTTCTTTATTTTGCCAAACAAACCGTATGTGATTTCCAAAATTCTAAAGAATTTCAAGATTATTTTAAAATTATTTTTAGTTTCTTGCGAGTTTTTTTACCAATTTCATTTGGTATTTGATTTGTAAATTTACATGGTAAAATATTGATATGGTATTAAAAATATTTACTTTTTTTATAAATTAAAAAAAATTATTTGAAAAAAATACAAAAATATTTTTTTATTTGTGTGAATATGGTTAAATTCTAAAAACTTTCATGCATATTTTATTAAAAAAATTGCATTTTCATCATACTTTGAAAAACACACAAAAAAAAAAAGTTGATGGATATCATAACAAATTTATGATTATCTATTAGAATTTGGCCAAAAATTCAAAAATATCATAAAAATCAATCTATTTTTTTAATTTTTGGAATATTCATTTTACATAATTATTTTGGGCACTCTGCAGATCATTAAATTTTCTAGTAATCATAATAATAGATGGTGACTCTTGAACTCCATTACTTATATTTTTATGATTAATCTCAATATATCCAAAACTCTCTCAATCAAAGATCCATACCCATCACTTGACATCGTACATGTCACGACATGATTTTACTTATCATTCTATTTTGTCTTTCATTCTAATTTATCATATCAAGGTTGATAAACTCATTTATAACATTCATCTTTTTGTATCCTAAAAACAATTACTCAAACATATTTTTCATTTATACATTTTATATTAATGACAATACCAATAAATCTCGTTAGTATTATTAGTCTTCTAAACCGAGAACTGCTAATCAAATCTAAGAATTGTCAATACCAATTGTAATCAAATTTAAATTTATTTATTTATTTTAAATTATTTTTTTTATATTTTTAAATTATTTTAATATACTAATATCAAAATAATTTTTTTAAAATAAAAAAATATTATTTTAATATATTTCTAAATAAAAATCACTTTAAAAAATTAACTATAATCACATTTCCAAATAAATTCAAATTAAATTCAAATTATCTTAATTATCCTACCAAATTAAATTAAATCAAGCCCATAACTTTAATAATAGGAGATTAGTCTCCTAGGCTCATGATGGTAAAGGAATCCACTTTAAGATACCTGACAGTGCTTTAAAAAAGGATTAGTCTCCTGTTCCAGAAAATGTTCAAGAATACTCTGGTACAATTAAAAAAAAAATACCAACAACAAATAAAATAAAAAATGAATAGTCATTAAGTGATGTATTTTTAAAACACAAAATACACACTCAAAAGTAGAATTTTTCGTAATTTGAAACACATAAAATGTTAATAATACTATTTTAAAAGAGAAGTTGAAAGCTATAAGTGAAGAAGCTTAAACCAAGATGCGTTGTAACAAAAGATTAGGTAAGCTTAGACAAATAATTATTACCTTTTCTTTTTCTCTGCCGATTTTGTTTTTAATTTTAATTCTTGTTTTCTTACAAATTCTTATACGAGATAGCATACATGTAAATATCCAACAAAATAAAAAATAAAAATTGTTCAAATAGAAAATACTAAATTTAAGATATTCAAATAATAGAATAATAGAAATTTAGAGACATTAAAAAAATTAAAAATTTAGACACTAATATGCAGTTTTTTCCATTGTTTCTAAAAAATTGTAAGCCATTCATTATTAATTAACATTAGTTATTTAAATATGAAAAAAATCAGGGACTCAAGTAGATATAATAATAATAATAATAATTGTTACATTATTATCATTATTATTATTAAAAAATAAAAAATAAGAAAAAGGATAAAAAGCAAATAAGTTTTCTCTACTGTAATTAAATATTAGAATCAAAATCAGCCTTCAAACTTTAAAAGTTCACATTTCAGGCAAAGAACAGAAAGTCCATTCATATGAACCAATTATTGTCTTCTTCAAGAAGCGTAGCCACCGCCACCGCCACTTTAATCTCTTCTGTCGCACTTCAGTCTCTAAAGCAATTCTCATCGACCACGACAACAAAACCAACAAAATGGAACTCACCAACCAACACCATAATCACTCACCCAATTCTCTTAGCAATGGAATCATGCGCTTCAATGCTTCAATTGAAGCAAATCCAAGCTCACATGACAAAAACCGCCCTTATTACCCACACTTTCCCAGTTAGTCGTGTCTTAGCCTTTTGCGCTCTCTCTGACTCTGGAGATATAAACCATGCCCATCTCCTGTTTTCCCAGTTACAAAACCCCAATACTTATATTTGGAATACCATGATTAGAGGCTACTCTAAAGCCAAAATGGACCAAACTGGCTTCTTGTTTTTCTGCCAAATGGTTCAGAAAGGTGTTGAAATGGACTGTAGGAGTTTTGTTTTCGCGCTCAAGGCGTGCGAGCAGTCTTTGGGAGTTTTAGAAGGAAAATCAGTTCATTGTGTTGTTTGGAAGATGGGTTTTGTTTATACTTTGTTGGTTCAAAACGGGTTGGTTCATTTTTATGGTTTGCGTGGTTGTTTGGGTTTAGCACGTCTAGTGTTTGATGAAATCTCTGAAAGAGATGTTGTGTCTTGGACTTCTATGATTGATGGGTATTCTAAGCATAAATGGTGTGAAGAGGCCTTGAAACTTTTTGACTCCATGTTAATGTATGGTGGTGTTGAGCCAAATGAGGTTACTATGATTGCAGTTCTTTCATCTTGCTCCCAGAAGGGGGATTTGATATCGGGGAAGACTTTTCACGAATATGTAAAAACAAGGAATGTGACTCGTAGCTTAAATCTGATGAATGCAATGTTGGATATGTATGTGAAATGTGGCTGCTTGGATTCTGCCAGAGAGATTTTTGATACCATGGGGGTTAGAGATGTGTTCTCATGGACAAGTATGGTTAACGGGTATGCTAAAAACGGTGAGCTAGAGATGGCGAGAACATTGTTTAATGAGATGCCTGAGAGGAATGTGGTTTCTTGGAATGCCATGATTGCTGGGTATTCTCAAAATAACCAACCGAAGGAAGCTTTAGAATTGTTTCATAACATGTTGGAGGCGGCATTTGCTCCAATGGAGAATACATTAGCTTGTGTGCTCCCTGTTTGCGGTCAATTGGGTTGCCTTGATGTTGGTCAGTGGATCCATCGAAACTACGTCAGAATGAGATACAACGAAACTAGTGTGATCTTAGCAAATGCGCTCATAGACATGTATGCTAAATGCGGAGTCATACATGAAGCTGCAAAAGTTTTTAATGACATGCCAGAGAGAAACTTGGTCTCTTGGAATTCCATGATTACTGCTTATGCTTCTCATGGGCACGCTAAGCAAGCTCTGAGTGTTTTTGAGCGAATGATAAGTGGAGGGTTTAAGCCAGATGATATTACATTGGTGGGTGTCCTGTCAGCTTGCAGTCATGGTGGCTTAGTTGCCGAAGGTCGAGAGTATTTTCAAAACATGAAACGAAAGTATGGTATAGAACCCAAGAATGAACACTATGCTTGTATGATCGATTTACTCGGTCGAGTTGGGCTCCTAGAAGATGCATACGAGTTAATAACCAAGATGCCAATGGAGCCAAGTGCAGCTGCTTGGGGTGCCCTAGTCCATGCTTGTAGGATGCATGGGAATGTTGAAGTAGCTAAGATTGCTGCTCCTAGGCTCTTGGAGCTGGACCCTGAAGACAGCGGTATCTATGTTCTGCTAGCTAATATTTGTGCTGCTGGGAGAAGATGGGGTGATGCCAAAATGGCTAGAAGAATGATGAGGGAGAGAAGGGTGAAGAAGATCCCTGGGCGTAGCATGATAGAAGTTGAGGGCCAGTTTCACGAGTTTTTGGCTGGTGATGAATCACACCCGCAATCTGGAGGCATTTATAACGCATTAGATCAATTATTTGCAATGTCTAAACTAGAGGACTGTTTTGAAAAATAACTTGGAATTTATTAAATTGATTTTTTCTATTTTTTCATCGAATTAGTTTTGTATAAAGGTCCGTAATTTATAATTTAGATTATTTGATTATTAAGGCATGTTAATGTTAATTGCCCTAAAATAAAAAATAAAGATATAAAATAATTAATAGATGAGATATATCCGTGTATCTCTTAAAACATAACGGCCGTTCACCATTAGATCTCTTAAAATTAATAATTATTAAAAAATACAGTGTTTTTCCTACTGTAATTGCTATCATTATTTAATAATCCTAAATTATCTTGACTCCTAGAAGATGCATACGAGTAATTACATCATTATTTAATAATCCTAAATTATCTTTTCCAAAATATTCCTCAATTCAAAAGTTTTATTAAGCGCTTTACCAACTTTTAGTCCCAAAAACAGTAACATTAGCTTTACATTATTTACAATTCAATATAACCTAATAAAAAAAATTATAATCTTTTTTCTTATATATATTGACTAGTTCTTCAATGCATTCATACCAAATAAATTCCCTTAAGGATATATATATATATATATATGAAACTTTATTTCAAAATAAATAAATAAACAAGCAGAAGCTTTGATGTTATCTTAAATAATAATATTTACAGCGTCTTCTTGTTCCATTACACGAGAAGAATTCTCATATCACACCCCCACGTTATCCCTTCTACAACTGCAATTAATCACAAGCTTTCCTTACACACGGTTCCCTGTACAGGCGTGCATGAATTATTTATTCACCTCTCTTACACAGCACGAATACATCACATGTTATCGGTCAGAGTTATATACCATGGCCTGTGAACGCCGATTGATACGGTAGCTGCCACCACTAATACTTCAGCAGTTGCCACCACTCTTTCTGCCAGCATGACAGCTCCAATTGACCGGAGTGCCGCCTGTGACAATTTTCTTCCCCAGGGTCCACTGCCCCCAAGCACAATTCCCCTTAGAGCCAGATAAACAGCGCGGGAAACTATTTCAAAAACAGGATCCCCGGCCTGCAAGCTCTTTGCTAACATCCTAGCCATGACCAACTTTCTTGGCTTATGCTTCTCATCATCTTGCGAGAACCCGCTCACTACTTCGACTATTTCTTCAATACCTACATCATCAACACGGTCTAGGACTTCTGACAATTTATTACTGCGCTCTAATAGAATGCTTTCCATGCCTGCATTGCTGTTTACCGCTCGCTCTGTCAGGAGGGTTTGCTGGTAAACAAGAATGCTGCATATCATTAAGTTTCAGATCAGTTAGTAACCCTCTTACATCAAATAAAGATACAAGAGAAAGCTCTACACAAAATGCAGCCCCAAAAAAATGGAAATAGAAAACAATGAGTGAGCATCTTTCCAATCAATCCATCCGGTCTCAAAAAGGCAGTGTTGTTGGAAAATTTTGAAGTAGCATCTCAAAGGAGGCCTGTGGATCACTTACCTGGTAGAAATTACTATCATTTTCTGAATTTCAGCCTGCACAGACCTCAACCGAGACAGGTTTAGCATAAAAGTTTCAGGCAAAGTTTCTTTTGTCAGACCAGAAACCCCACTCACAATCTTCAACAATCCAAGCCTCACCAACAAATCAATTCTTTCACCAGTGCATTCTGGTTCTGGTTGTTGGTTATCTGATTGAAACATGAAAAAAAATGAGGATGTTGGAAGAAATGTAATTACCATACATTTTCAAGCAAACTACTCATGTCATAACAAACTTTCTTGTCAACTTCGCAAAGAACTAGATATTGTGTATAAATTTACAATTTTTACCAAGTAGCTGGCATACCTGTCTCTGAAGGTACAGAAGTAGAACCCATTGCACTGCCATTTGTTTTGGCCAGAAAGCTTCCACCGGTTCTAAGGGTAGTGAGAGGTACAGAAACCTGTGATGAACTGTCATCGCTCTTCAAAGAAAAGAGAGAATTCTTGTGCTCTTCCCACTCTTGATCTTCACTATTCTTAACAGATGAAAGCCACTGCATTGTCAGCGGTAGAGAGATACAGGCATCTGAATCAGACCCATAATGCTTGGCAAAGGCTTTTCTAAGGTAATCCAAACCAGCAGGACCTGTTAACAAAGGCTCCATCATCCTTATTCGTACTTTACTAATCTCTTGCTTGAGAGCCTGTCAAATATGTAGATCATTCAGATAACTGTAACTCTCAAACGCATATTAGGCTCAGCAAGAAAATATAATGTAGCCAACACAACTAGAAAACAGCGAACATGAAAAGAAAAGGCTATGAATGTCAAGCAGTTGATTTTCAAGCAGTTGATCACATATAATACAGAGATTGGCTGCGGAGAGGTGCTCATATTCTGTTATATGGACATTACAGCAGATATGATCCACAAAAATACATGCTAAATAGGAGAAATTTCTAGCAGTGTTTTCCCAGAAAACATGAATGATCATGTATATTGAAGCAAATATAAGACATTTTTCATTCTGTCTGAAATGACCAGAAATAAGTTCCAGCAAAGTTGACCCAGAAGAGCAATACATAAGCCTAGAGCAAGAACAACAAAACAAAAAGAGGCATGAATGAATATGCAAACCTGAATCTGCTCCAGCACAAAGCGTAGACCCTTGATCATTGCAGCAATATGTGGATGCTTCGATTCATCTTGGGTCTGACAAGTCTCAGCCAACTCTTTCAACAATTTCTTATGCAGGGCCTTCATTACATCCTCCTGGGCTGGAGAGGAGAGTTTCTGCAACGTAACTAATGCAAACTCTAGAATCTTTCCACAGTAACCAATGTCCAGGTTACCTGACTTTAGAACCTAATAATAAGAGAAGGGAAATTAGTATTACAACAGATATAACACCCTAGTAGTAGGAAAAGATCCCCACCTGAGAGAGAAGATCTAGATCAATAGCTTCAACAATCTCTTGTTTCCAGCTCTCTGGAGCCAGCTCCTGAATTCCATCCCTCACCTCCCCCACAAGTTGAACGACCCGATCATATTTGGGCTCATCTTGTTTCATTGATTCCATGACACTATCCCAGAAAGCTGCCTCCATTGTCTCTCTCACCTTTGCCTGAAAGCAATAAGGTTAGCGGGGAAAATTAGCATCTAAATTCTAAATCTCAACTAATCACCAGCTTGGTGGATACTTAAAACAAGTTTTGATTATTGATAAGAGTTTCCTGTGAAATCTACACAGAGTTGTGATAAATGTTGAAGTATGAATAAACTTTAGAGGCTTAGACTTAATAAATGATAGCAAAATCATTTTTCAACAAGATTCCACAAAGCAGCATATTAATATCACAGGAGCTTTATAGGAGGAGCAACCATTATTCCCTGGGCAAAGCATGCAACTCCAAACAAAATAATAAAATAAAAAAGAAGTAATGAAACTAATGGAGATATTATTATGCCAATTTCACTATCTTCCAACGGATTGATTATTGGTTAATGATCACAGTTGTCTTAATGCACAAACCTTGATACTACTTTCATCTTTGTCAGAAATATTGAATCTCTCAACAAAACCATGGCGTTTCTCATGGAGAAATTCATTTACGATCAATTCATTCTCTGTTAATGATTTTCCAACAGCAGAACCTGATGGACCATCTAAGCAACAGCTGCTACTTGCAGAGGAACCAAATTCTTTAGCTGAGGAGGTATCTTCTCTGAATAAGGAGCGAACTACATGGCTTGGCCTCTGAATACCATCACTCACATTATTTCTATTAGCAGTGTTAGCAACAGAAGGAGCATATAGGGGCATGCTAGGAGATGGAAGATGCATTAGTGGTGACCCTACTGGACTTCCATTTTCCTTGGCTTGAAAATACTTTGATCGTGTTTCAGATAGTGCAATTTCCATTCGCCTGATACCAGCATCTCCACTCAGGTGTTGTACCTTTTCCCTTAAAAGTTTTTGGTCTTCTGCAACCTGTATTGAAACAATTAAAAGACAATCATCTTAATGAAAATACCAATATGGGAAGGAACATTCTGCATGAATACCTTATCAAAAGGCTCAACAAAAATCAATCTAAATTCAGATGATCATTTGTTCAATTACTCGAACATCCCCTTTCAATAACAAAGGTAAAGGCAATTAACGGTACATGCCAAGAGTTGAAAGGGCAGCAATTATTCAATACTTTCACATCACTATGAAAGAAAGAAAAAGGTTTCTTTTTGTTTTTTTTACTTCAAAACCATTTTAATGTGACAACATTTGTTCATGTCATGTACATCAGCTACTATTTTAGTGGATAAAGATAAGACCTGATTCTGAATGGCTTTCATATCATGAGTAAGAATATCACTACTCCCTCCTGGGGTGAGCTTGCATTTCTGGATCATAGAGAGCTCAAGCTGGCAAGCAGCTCTCACCAAGTCCTCCTCCAATGACTGTGCATCCTTAACCTTCCACACAACAAAGCAATTCAAGTAGGAGCACCATTCTTTATCAAAAGCTGCAAGCTGAGACCTGAAAGTGCAACGTTTCTGTGAAATGGATTCAAACTCCTCATCAGAACTGTGCATGGGCCCATCCAGTATAATCCTTATCAACAGCTCAAACTCTCGGATGAAAGATCCAGCAGACTTGGCCAGAGCAATCTCACGCTCCCCTTGACCACTGAAAACAGCATCTGGATGACCTAAAATCATGTAGGCACAAAGAACCATTCTCACTGGATACCTAGACATTTTAGCAGGACGTCTGGCAGAGTCCCCAGAGGCACCTACTTTTTTGGCCTCTCTACTCCTTGTATAAGACCTGGGTGTGGTCCTTTTCTTAGGGGTGGCAACTCTTTTGAGAAGGTGATCAATGTTGTCCAAGCTGGAAGGATGATCCATGGCAGCAACAGCCATTGAGACTCTAAAGCGGCTCTCAAGACGATCAAGCAAACGTTCTACAGTCTGAAGAGTACCAGTCAATTGAATCAGACGAGCAAGCTGCTCAAATGGCATTGACTTCACACAGTTCTCATTGATTTTCAAGGCATCATAGTCTTTTGCCAGGTCTATGGTAGTTCTCCTTGACCCAAGGAACTGCCTCCAGCACCTAAGAGAATGTGAGCAAGTATACATTATTCAGGTGAAATTTATACTAAAGCACAAGCCAGATGTTTTTGTACAGGGTTAGATGTTTGACAGATTCACCAAAACTTCACAAGATAGCAAGTGTCGGTAATATACCTTGCTAATTTTCTAGAAAGGAGATCAGCCTGCTGGTGCGTCTTATTCCAGTTTACCCGAACTGAACTATGCTGAAGTCCTCTTTGCCTCAAAAATTCTGCTCTCTGTCTCTTTGCCTGATTATCATAAAACTCAACGAAAAGCCAAGGAAATGAGCAGCAAAACAAAGGCAACCAGCTTACAATTGAATATAAGAAGATATTCATTATTAATTTCAGAGTTCAGACAATATCTTTACCCTTTGCAGTCGATCTTCCAGCTTTTCCCTCATTCTCCTCCTCTCAATCTCACGTTGGTGAGAGACAGACCTAGCTACTCGCTGAACTTGCAACAACCTAGCACATGCCCTCTTCTTTTCTGCTTCCAACAATCCCATACGCTTCATTTCAGCAGCTGCACGCTTTTGGTTAATTGCTGCACGTACACGCTCCTTGTACTTACTTTCCCGAGCCCTTCTTCGCAATAATGATTGGGATGTTCTCTCCTTCAATGTGGCCCTTCTTTGCCTGTAAGCCTTGAGCATAAGCATTCTATTTGCTTCAGCCTGCTGAACCCGTAACTCCACTTTTGTTCCAAGCCTCTCCCTTTCTCTCTCAAAACGCTTCTCCACCCCAGTTTTAGCTGCCTGCCGCAACTCATGCAACCTAGCCAGGCGCATCTGAGCATTTGCCAGAATGCTGAGCCTGTAATATCAGAATGTGAGCCTGTTAAAGAGTAATATAAAACTATTCAAGTGAAAGGTTTTTTGATATGGTATTAGAACCTTGTTAATCAAATAGTCATGAGTTTAAATTTCACCACCTCTATTTTATTTTAAAAAAATTTAAGTATAAGGTTGTGTAGACCTATTCAAGTTTCAAGCCTAAATGACTTTCACTTGAGAGGGTGTGTTAGAGAGTAATATAAAATTATTGCTAATACCTCACCAAACAGCTAAAGTTTTTGGATGAAATGGTTCTTTGACAAAGCACAAACATGCAGCTTGACTAATAATTATAAATTTATAAAATAAAGTGGTTTGAAGGGAATGTTCTTCCAATTTTGTTTTAATGGGCAAATCTAACATATTGTATTGACTATAGGGAAACCAAATTAGAATGCAAAAAGAAAAAGAAAATATGCAGAGCAATAAGCCAAAAAGAATAAGTCTGCGGTGCAGATGGAAGAGAATAAAAAATGTAATCTGTTTTTAGAGTTGGCATTTTCAGGCAAAATTATTTTGGATGCCGTCAAGAAAAAGGATAGCACGGGTCAGCATTTGTTTCGTAAATGAAATACCATTTGATGATAGGTGACATGCAATAAGGATAAGTGAAAAAACTGTAAAAAAATATGCGGTGAATGAACAATTGTTGTCAGCTAGTATCCATGGATTATGAGAGTAAAAGACACATAGAAATCCTAGGAATGAGAACTCAGGTTAAAACCTTAAGGGGCAACGTAGATAGAGAAGAGAGACAAAGAAGAAATTCACAATAATGTCAATAAAAGGTAGGAAAAGAAAAACAAATCATGAATCATCACTAAGCAAGCAGCATCATGACCCATCACTGAAGTAAGTGATGAATCAACACAATATGAGCAAGCCTCGAACAACAATGATAATTCATGTAGATGCTTAATGATCACATGGATAACAATCCACACCACCAACCTTTAACGTCAAAGATAACAAGTAAAGAATCCATTAAAAACTATGGCATAACTCAAAACTAACAAGGACACGACCTTTTTTGCTCCGCAGCGTGAAGCTTTGCTTCAAGGCGTTGCGCAAGGTCGTCTTCATGAGATGAATACTGTGAGGGGCTTCTTGGCTTTGGTCTAGCCTTGCTTGACAACTTCTCATAGAATTGCTGCTCTCAAACAAATCGCCAAAATAATGGTAGTATATCAATTAAAAATGGTTCTAACATGGAGTTGGGTGAGCAAAACAAGAAAAGGAAAAACTTTTTTCACACTAAAATAACACAGATGGCTTATAAAATCATCACATTCACAAAATAAGACTTTATAGAGAAAAAAATAATATAATCAACAGAAAATCGCTTCTTCAAGAGAAAAAAATCGGAAATTAAAAAAAAAAGAACAGGTAATAATTATGACAATCAATCAAAAGAGAAAAAAAGAATAATTATGAGCATGAATTTAGACGAAAGTTCAAACGTTGCTCTCTTTGATCATGAAAATAAAAGGCTAAAATTGAATAAAAGAATAAGAAAATAATTAAGTGAAAAAAATAAAAAAAAAAATAAAGGAACCTGTCTACGGAGATGAGCGTGTCGGAGTTTAGCTTCGATTTCTTCAACACTACTAGTTGTTGGAGCCTTGGCTTCTAAGAGTCTTTTTTGAAGCTTTCTCGGTATTCTCCTCGGAGACGAAAACGGTACCGTATCACTGACAGGAAAATCAAGCGCAATTCCACCAACCACCACCCCCGTTTCCGGCGACGATTCTACTCCGGTATCCATAATTTAAAATGAAAGAAACAGCAACAGAAGCACCAAGTGATGCAAATTCTAACTCTTTTTCTTTCTTTATTTCTTGATGGATTTCTGGTTTTATTTATCTATTTATTTATATTTACAAGAAAAATCAAAGGAAAAAAGCTGCGTCAATTCTTACTTGATTTTTATTTTTTATTTTTTTTTTGGAGAGAAAGAAGAAATGGAAAGCGTGTCCGCCTGTGTGTTTATGTTTACGTGAGTTTCTCTTTACTCATCCTCTACTTCTACTTATCTTCATCACCTCCTCGGCTTTTTCCTGCCACGTCATCTACCTCAACGGCTCTCTTTTGTCGTTTTTTTCTTTTTTCCATGTATTGCCCCTCGCCTTTTTGTTTTTTTACATAGCTGTGCAAGTAGTCATGAAAATCAATTCGGTTCCCTGGGCCGGCCGGGTAATTAGTCTATATGAAAACTTTTTTATAATTTTATTTTAAATTAATTTGTAGAATAACTCAGTAAAATTTAATTAATTTAATTAACTAAGCTAAACCCATATGATATCTACCTGGACAAATTTCAAGGATTTTTCAAATTCTTATACTGTATAATGTCATTTCATTTTAAAAAATTAAAACAATATTTCTAATATTAATTCAAGTTTATCTACTAATTGAAGATTTTAGCAATCAAGTTTGCTAATGCAATGTTTGTTTTGAGTTGGTAATTATATTTGAATGTATTTTAAAAGTTTGTCTACTTGAAAATATATTTAAATTAATAATTTTAATGCACTAATATTAAAAATTAATAAAAAAATATTTCTATATGAAAACTTTTTTTCTAATTTTATTTTAAATTAATTTAGAGAATAACTCAGTTAAATTTAATTAATTTAATTAATCAAGCTAAACCCATATGATATCTATCTGGATAAATTTCAAGAATTTTTCAAATTTTTATACAGTATAATGTCATTTCATTTTAAAATATCAAAACAATATTTCTAATATTAATTCGAGTTTTTCTACAAATTGAAAATTTTAGCAATCAAGTTTGCTAATGCAATGTTTGATTTGAGTTGATAATTATATTTGAATGTGTTTTAAAATTTTATTTACTTGAAAATATATTTAAATTAATATTTTTTAATAATTTTAATGCATTAATATTAAAAATTAATAAAAAAATATTTTGATATATTAAAAAAAACACTTTGTATTATAATAACAAATACATAATAAAAAAGAATTGCTCATGCTCTCCATTAGATAAATATGACAAAAAGAGAATATTGATTCTCATTTTTATTTGAGAAACTGAAATACAATTATGAATTAATTGAAAGAATTTTTCAATGATTATAATTATCTAGTCTAAAAAAAGGGTGTCATGTTCTGTTTTTTAATATAAATTAGATTACTCACACCAGACAGTGGTGGTTTGGGATAAACCACAAAACTTTGTGGCATTTGGTTGGCAGTAACTTTATTTTTTATGATTTAAGTTGCAAAAGGTACTGTGTTTATGCTCTGATTTAAGGCGTGTGATAGGTAGCCTTCTGATATACTGAAATGCAGTTTACCTGTTTCCCGTACCTACACCAAATAAAATATATTATTTTAATAATTTTTTATTAAAAAAAAATTAAAAAACAATAAATATTATATTCTCAACCATTCTTTAAACATGGAAGGATAAAACAAGTTAAAAAAAAAAAAAAAGATAAAAAGCTTGTGTAAGCCAATCCAAGCAAGAACGGTATACTATTAAAAGGTAAGATAAGTTACTCTAGATTAACTTGATAAATTTATTTTTTTTATAATAAAATTAAAAAAATTTAATAAAAAAATAAATTAAAAATAATCATAAAATTATTTAAAAGAATATAACGCATATGATGCTATCAAAAAAAATAAATAAAAAATGTTAATCCTTATTAACTTTTCAAACTCGTGATCCGAATCATTATATGAAAAGCACTATATATTAAAAAATTATAAAACTCAATCTTTAGAAAATAAAATATTGAAAGATGACTCAAAAAACATTACACAAAAAATCACAAAAATAGCAATTAAAAAACTGAGTATTAAGATTGTAAGAAAAAATAAAGGGTAATAATGAATTTTTAAATTCAAATTTAAATTGAAAAGAATAAAAAAGTCAATACACAGTTAACTTGGATTGAAAAATAAAACTAAAAACAATAAATTTTTTATAAAAATATCAAGAAAAAAATCAAAAACAAATTTAAAAAAATATGGATCAAACTGAAAACACCAATACATGATTAAAAAAATGAATATCTAAAAAATTTTAATGTGTTTTTTTCACATATAAAAAATCTTAAAAGTAAACTGAAAAACTTATGAACACATATAATTACATAAACTACAAACTATTTCTTAAATAAACTAAAAAAACCCATCAGTGATATTTAATATTTCAATATGGATCATTTAACCAATTGTGTTAGATTAATATATTTATGAAAATCAAATTATAATAAAAATTAACACACACATAAAATTTATTCGAATAAAACAAAAGGAAAAAAACTATACAGGACTACACATTTTTAAAATATTATTAAAAATAAATATTTTTTATTTTAAAAATAAGTTTCATCAATATAAAATATATAAGAAAATTAAATGGCTTTTTAACCAAAAAAAAACACTCTTGAAACTTTGGTATACCAATTATGACTTCAAAAAATAGCCTTAAAACTCATAATTAACCCAAAACTAAAAATCTTTTAGAGTTTATATATGTGATTTTAGGTGTTTTCAAAATAAAAAAAATATTTAATTTTAATTCCTTTTATTATATAAAATTATTTAATCCAAAAATTAATTATTTTAGTATCTGAATCATTTTCAACAATAACTTTTTTTCTCTTGACAAGAATTCAGCGACATTCTCTTTTTTTTCCATCGAAAAAAGATGAAAAATGAAAATAATGGTACCAAATATAATGTTTAAAAATTACAAGGATTGGTTAACTTAATAGCTGAAAAAAAAAGGGGTTAAAATGAACTTTAAAAATAAATTACAGAGCCCCATCTATGTTACCCTTTTATTTTACATAAATCATTTTTTTTTTCAATTCAATCTTTATAGAAAAAAAATTAAAAATTGAATTGAATTTTTTAAAAAATTTTGCTATTACAATTTATAGTGAATTGTGTGAATTATAAGAGGGTGAACATTTAAAAATAAAAACTACAGTAAAAAAACCACACTCTTTATGTATTCTGTTAATTAAATTAGTGAAAATGTGAATCATATTTCACTTGATTCGATTCCTTTTTCTGTTAAGAAAAGTTTTTTAAACCTGACTCCAGTTTATAACTCTATCTAGACTTCAAGTCATAGGTTAAGTTTATGCGAGCCGATCCAAGCCAACACCGTACACTATTAAAAGATAAGTTAGTTTGAATTAACTTAATAAACTTATTTTTTAATTATAAAATTAAGATAATTTAATAAAAAAATAAATTAAAAATAGCTGCAAAACCATTTAAAAAAAATATAACATCATATAACACTATTAAAAAAAGATATTAAATCTTTTTAATTTTTTAAATTCATAATATATAGATCATTATAAAAAATCACTACATATTAAAAAATTACAAAAATCAATCTAATGAAACATAAAAAAATGACTCAAAAGCCATTACACAAAAAATCCAAAAAACAGCAATTAAAAAACTGAGTGTTAAGATTGCGAGAAAAAATAAAGGGGCAGCAATGAATTTTTAAATTCGAATTTAAGTTGAAAATAATAAAAAAAAACTAATACACAGTTAACTTGGATTAAAAGATAAACTAAAAATAGTAAATGTTTTATTAAAAAAAATAGGAATTAAATTAAAAACACCAATACATGATTAAAAAAATAAACATCTAGAATTTTTTTAATATGTTTTTTCACATACAAAAAATTTTAAAAATAAATCAAAAAACCTATAAACACGTACAATTATATAAATTACAAACAAATTCTTAAGTGAATTAAAAAAATAGAAGCCATCAATGATATTTAATATTTCAATATAGGTTATTTAACCAGTTGTGTTTGATTAATGTATTTATGAAAATCAAATTATAATAAAAATTAACATACACATAAAATTTATTTGAATAAAACAAAAGGAAAAAAAATATTTATACAGGGCTACATATTTTAAAAATAAGTTTCATCAATATAAAATATATATATATATATAAGAAAATTAAATGGCTTTTTACCCAAAAGAAACACCCTTAAAACTTTGTTTAACCAATTATTACTTCAAAAAATAGTCTTAAAACTCATAATTAACCCAAAACTAAAAATAAAAAAATGCTTAATTCGAACTTCTCTCATTATATAAAACTATTTAATCTAAAAATTAATTATTTTAGTGTCCGGAATCATCTTTAATAATAACTTTCTTTTTCTTAACAGAAATTCAGTGACATCCTCTCTCCTCTCCATAAAAAAAAAAACTAAAAACTAAAAATAATAATATCAAATATAATGTTTAAAAATTACAGGGATTGGTTAACTTAATAGCTGAAAAAAATAGAGGGCTAAAATAAACTTTAAAAATAAATTGCAGAACCGCTATCTATGTTACCCTTTTGTTTTACATAAATCATTTTATTTTCAATTCAATCCTCATAAAAAAAAAAAGGACACTAGTCTAATTGTACAAAAACAAATTGAGGATTAAATTGAATTTTTTTAAAAAAATTACTATTACAATTTATAGAGAATTGTGTGAATTATAAGAGGGTGACCATTTTTAAAAAAACTACAGTAAAAAAACCACACTCTTTATGTATTCTGTTAATTAAATTAGTGAAAATGTAAATCATATTTCACTTGATTCGATTCCTTTTTCTGTCAAGAAAAGTTTTTTAAACCTGACTCCAGTTTATAACTCTATCCAGACTTCAAGTAATAGGTTAAGTTAGCTAATATGAAACAATCAAGTTTTACGATTTCTCTTTAAAAAAAAATATTTAAGATAGAAGTCTTTTTAAAATAAATAAAAAAGGTCAAATTACATTTTGACTTGTTCTTCTTTCTCTTAATCTAACCCGAGCCAGCTACCTAATTGACATGTTTAATAACATTACTTTAA